CCCCTCCCGCCCCCACCAAAGGCTGTGCGCTCCGGAGGCTCATCCCTCCCACTCCACTGGGACTCTGATCCATTCTTACTCATCCTTCAGGTCTAAGGTCAAGAATCGCTTCTTGGGGAAACCGAACCCCAAACCAGGCCAAGTCCCTCTTAGGGACGTGCACGGCGGCGTCATTTCTCCTTCGTGGCGTGGGCTATGGCAGCACTTCCACACTTATTTGTGTGTTTTGATTCCTGGCCCCTCCAGCCCAGAGCCTGGCAAGCAGTAGATCGCCAATGAAAAACGATGTGAAAAATGCAGTGGGGACCCTGGAAGTATCTGGAAGGCAGGTCCAAACACGGGAGCTGGGGAGCCTGGGGTGGGCTGGTCAACCTTTAGTGGGCGGAGAAGGCAGCAGTGACAGGCAAGGGCCCTGTGTGGCTTCCACGCTGCTCTCTGCAACCACGCAGGGCAGACTTTGGGGACCTTGCCCCCGAGGCTCCTGCCTGCTGTCCTTGCCCGGGCTACTCATTGTCCCCCAGTGAGTGTCTGCAGGGCCCCGGGCCAGGCTCCTCATGCTGTGCATCATCCGTTGAGGGGAGCGGCACGGGCACAGCCCGGACACCATGCCCGGTTCCAGAAGGCTGCTCTGCGGAGCGCTTCGCGGTGCCGGCACCCAGCTCTCCCACAGACATGAGTTCATTCCTTCTAGAATCGCCGTTGGCGGCCAGCTCAGAAGAACACGCTCTAACTCCACCAGGGATGACACCTTCAATCCTAGCATGGTTTCCTCCTAAAAAACTTCCCATGCTGAGAACCCATGAAACACTTCGGTCCTGAAGTTACCAGCAACATGCTTTGTAAAAACAGAGGGCTTACAGGGTCAGTTCAGGTGATGAACTCAGAAGCCTGCAAGGGACTAAAGATGGCAGGAAGACAGGCTCAGGACCCACGAGTGGTCAGGCCAGAGGAGGGACCCTGGGGATGCACAGGCAAACGCTCCAGCCAGGTTCCGTGCCAGGCCTCGGAGTCAGAAGCAGTACCTGCCAGCCGGGCACACTGCACACTCCTCACCCATTGCTGAATGCAGACACCTGGCTGGTCCCTCTCCCCTCCGACTGCCCCGCTGGCCATGCCAGCCAGGTCAGGCTCCCCCGTGGGCTCAGTAGGTCCTGCAAACTTGGCACTGGCTGGGAGCCCTGAAAGACACCTTTGCAGGCAGAGCGGTGGTGGAACGAGGCTGCCCGGAGCCTTGGGGATGGCGGCTTCTGAAACACCTGCTGCCCAGCAGCTTACACAGCCGGCTGGAGTTCTCAGCTGTAACTTCCCCCAGGCTGAGGCCGCCTGTCCCTCCTTCCTCCAGCTGAGTGTGTCCTCTCTACCTGACATCTCCAGACCTGCACAGCATCCTATGGCCGAGCTGAGCTCTCCACAAACCACCAACCACCACCGTGCCGCCTGGAGGCCGCCCAGGGCGGTCACCAGCGCACCCCAGGAGCTCCTCACGCCATAGTCAGGCACTTCCTCCAGGCCCTCCCCGCCCTTTCTCGTCCCTCTCTAATCATGCTGCACACTTCGCGCCCCCTCCCTGTGTGCAGAGACCCAGACAGTACACGCCTGAGGAGAGCAGGGAGAGGTCCACAGAACACTTTTCAAAACCATCGATACAGACACAGTTACCAGGTGACGAGGCTGGCCCAGAGCAATCATGCAATAATCTATAATATGTGTGTATGTGTATTTTTTATAGGCTCAATTTCCTTGCTTTGCGTCTGAGAGTGGCTTCCTGGTTCCTGCAAAGCTCAGACCCTATAGGCAGGTGTCATCCGTGGGACTTGGAGAGGGGAGCCCAGCAGGCCCCAGCTCCCACTCATGTGCCTCCCACTAAGACGCCTTGGAAATCATCTTTTATGGAGCAGTTCCTTTAAGAGGAGGCTGGATGTGCAGACTGTCTCAGGCTTGAGGGGCTCAAGATGGGCCTGGGCAGAGAGGCCGGAAGGTGAAGGGCCGGGAGGCAGTGTAGATGGAGGTGGTCCGGCAGAGGAGACGATGGGATGGGTAGTGTGATCTGAGTGCTGCCACCTGGGGGCTGGTGAGCCTTGAATCTCGGCAGCAGGTGGAGACAGCCCAGGGCCTCTGGCTGGCACCTCTGTCTCGATTCCCATCTGCAAGGTGGGCCCTCTGCAAGAGGTTTAGCTTCTCTGAGCCACGGGGTCACGCCGTCTGTGGAGCGGGCACGTCCTCAGGGATGGCACGACACCTGCACTGTGCCTGCCGTGGAGACTCTCATGCTGTGTCTCTCTGAGTCCACCTTTTCAGAGTAGGGGGCATAGCCAGAGCCCCCGAGCATGGCCTTTCCCACAGGCACCCCCTTCTGCAGCCCACGCTGTCCCGTGGTGTCCCCTCCGTCCCCCGCTTCCTTCCGTTTCACCTCCGGGGCAGCTCGGGGCCCTTCCGGCTCCTCCCGCGATGGCCGGGCCCACCCTCGCTGCCCGCCCCATTATCTCCATCACCGACGGGGCTTTTCCGAGTTGCATCGCCTGAGCACAGAACGCAGGGAGAGGGCCACCTCTGGACTGCGTCGCCACGCGAGCCTCTCAGTGGGCGCGTCCCAGAGCGGCCAGTCACGTCCCCATCACAGAACCGCGTCCATCCGTGAGCACGAACGTTGACACAAGGGCATTTCTGGCCTCCGCGTGGCAGGGCCCATGGCGACCGAGGACACTTATTTCCAGGACAGCCATCCGTGAGGCGTTTTAGTGATGGCGAGCCTCCCTTCCTGCCCAGCATTTCCGTCTTGACGAGGGGCCACAAGCCCCCTACTTGGCCACACCCAAAGCAGGCCTGTGTCCACTGTCCTCTGAACAGCCCCTCTTGGACCGGGGTCCCCTCAGGGCACTCCACTCCGGGACCCTTCACTACCGACATCCCACTCATCAATCTTCTGCCATCCCACGATAATTCTGTTCTCCTCGAAACCACAGCGACTCTGCGTGTACTGAAGAATTACATCCGCCCAAGGAGAGGTCTGCCCTTGGCCCTGGTGTTACTGGGAGGTGACACCCAGTCCCCTGCCTGACACTGCAGCATTACAGGGCCCGTCCCTACCAACCGTCAGGACATGGTCTGGAAGCCCAGGTACCCGGCGGTGGCTCCCAGAGCACCTGGGGGAGTCACGAGCTAGGCTGAGGGCAGCGGGCGGCACCAAGCGGCCGCTACTTACTGGCATTCTCGGGTGCGGGGTGAACAGGGACGTCTGAAAGGGAACCAGAGAGGAGAGAGGTGTGAGTCGGCTTCACAGACCCGCCTCCGGGAGAGCTACCAGGTGGAACGGCCTCGGCCTCTCCTTTGCCGATTACTAGTTTTGACAACTAGAATCGCGTATTTCTTTGAAGTCCCTGAGCACTGATTACGACAGGAAAGCAGAGGTTAGATGTGGGAACCCCGGAGTCACACGTCCTGAGCTCAAGCCCTGTCATCCCCGCCTAAAAACTGTGTGACCTCGGAAAGCTGTCAGCTTGTGCATCCTCATCTGTAAAATGGGGATGAGTCGTTCTCCCCTCGGGGTACGGGGGCTGGGAACCCATGCCTGTCCTAGAGCTGTGCCCAGGACGCTGGGGCCATCAGTGTCTCCGTTTCACTATCAGGGTCTCTGGCAATGACCCAGGTGACAAGGAAACCAGGACGAGGGGGCTCTGGGCACAGAGAGCTCAGCTCACGTGAACTCTATCTCGGCACACAGAGACCCCTGCACTGGCCCATGGGGCCCTCTGGCTCACCCGGGCCCAGCTGCATTAGACGCCTCCCAGGGTGAGGTCTTCCGCAGCCTCGAAGCTGCACGGCCCCGGCCCCGAACTTGCTCCCCCCTTCCCTTCACCTGCCTACGGCCTGCTCCCCCCTCCACCAGCCACTCAGATACAACTCAGGCCTCCTTGTCCTCCTCCCTAACGCACCCTTAGGGCTCTTTTCTACATATTTCCACACGCTTATGAATGTACAGAAATAAATGACTTTGCACAAGAGTTATACAAAGAGTAACAGCAAACGCAGTTATTTAGGGTTGTTTATAGGTACTAACTCATGTGTTCTTCACAGAAACTCTTAGAGGCAGAGGATCTGTTTTTGTCCTGCTTTATGGATCAGAAAATCGGAGGGCAGAGGGGCTGCTTAGCGACGTCCGTGCAGCGAGGGGATTCTGGGGCACGAACCGGCCACGCGCAGCGGCCCATGTCCTTCACCCTCGCACACACGCGACTTACAAGCTGGTTATTCCACTTAGTTTTCTTGAGTGTGGGTATCTTTTCAAGGCCATATACATAGTGCGTGTGTGTGAGTGTGTGTGTATTTTTATAAAGCAGGATTCCACGACATGGACAGTCTGTGGCTTACCTAATTCTATGCTTGTGGTCACGTAGGCTGCCTGTAACTTTTCATTGTAAGCAACTTCGGTGTACACCCTTGTTTATGCTTTGTTAAATGCACATCATGCAAATTACTACTCTGGGGTAGATGCCCAGAAGCGGGATTTCTAAGCTAACAGGTAGACACTTTCAGATATATTGACACCGAGTTGCTTCCCAAACGAGTGACATCAACCTGCCCTTCCACCAAGCAGGGGTGCCCGCCTGCCTGCAGCGGATGTCATCAGCCTTAAACGGAAGTTATGTGGCCAGTTCTGACTCTAAAGTTGCTTCTGAGACTCTTCTGACATCCTTGTAGGACGGCTAAGTCCCATTTTGACAGGCACGGGGAGGAGACTGAGCTGCGGAACAATGACTGAATGAAAATCAGAGTGAGAGTTGCTGTCACAGCGTGTGTCCAGGCTCCCTCCTCTGCTGGCCTCCACACCGCGGCCGTTCCCTGCTTTGGAATGACCAATCCCTCGTCCCCAGCGAGGGCCAGCACCGGAAGCCATGCTCAACCACCCTGAAAACAACTGATCAAAGCACAGAACGTCAAGGCTGAGAAGAAAAACTGAGATGAAAAAGAAAATAAATAATCCAAAAAATGCTCCCCTATTTATACAGCAGTGGTTTTATATTTAGTATCACTAATGCTCCAGAAATGCTGCTATGTGCTTGTATCGCTTGAGTTAGCTTTTACTGCAAGTGTACAAGATACCTGGGTACAATTTGTACCTTGAAAGTTGAGAAAACCAAGTCTTTTCGAAATTAAGTAATACATCTGAGACCACAGTGCTGCTGCGTGGCAGAGCGGGGACTCAAACTCACTTTCGTCGGGCTCTGAAGCCTACATTCTCAGTCACTGCTCACTGCCTGGTATCAAGGCTCACGGCCGTTTGTCCGCACGCAGTCTTAGCCTGGACTGCATCTCGGCCCTGGGCCTCAATGTCCCCAGCATAATGGGTAGGCACGTGTCCTCTGGGTCTAGCCAGTGTTTCGATAAGCAGTGATGAGTTCGCTGGATACAGTAAGCTGACAGCACAAAATGTTCCCAGAGGGGCTATGTGCTTGGGGGTTATAAAGCCGAGGAATAGCCACGGGCTGCTGGCCAACTATTAAAGAGATGTTTATAACTAAATGGCACATTTGTGGGCAGTGGGGCCTCCCAGTGTGCTCAGAATTCAAAAGAGGAAGGGTTAGAAGCAGAGTAACTTACGGTTCCGGGTGCTCCAGGCGGGCCCACTGGGCCGGCTTCACCCTGGACAGAGGAAAGAGAGAAGCATGACCAGCAGTCTTTCTGCTGACTGCCTCTCCTGGGACACCTGTCCCCAGACAACAGAGCCACCTACCCTCCGTCTACCTGGATAGATGGATGGATAGATGGATGGACAGCTGGACGGACGGACGGATGGACGGACAGATGGATGGATAAGATAGATGACAGACAAACAGATGATAGAGATATAGATAGATATAAACAGACAGACAGATTCCAATTTATAAAATAGTTCGGATATATGACAGCCTTATGTCTGAGAAGTAGCTAAGCTGCTTTGTGCGGCCGCAGGCTGTCTGCATCACCTCACGCCCACGGGCAGTGCTGCAGCGAACATCCTGGCTCTGTGCCCTGTCCGTCCCGCACTGAAGGGAACAGGCTGTTCTCGGGGGCCTGAGGGGACAATACTCACCCCGTAAGCAACACAGACTTAGGAGTCGAACCTCCTAAGCTTGAAGCCTAACTCTACTTTCTTATGCATCATTTTACCTCTTTGGGCTTGTTTTCCTCTTTACAAAATGATGATAATAGTACACGCAGCTCACAGCATCGCATGGGACTGAGTAAGAGCCTTGTCAGCAGGACCCGACAAGAGGGAAAGCCACCGTCACGTGTGTCCTCAGGAAAGGAGGTCATGGTTGCTCCACGCAGCAGGGACCACAGAGCAAGAACCTGGTCTAAGACCCGCCGTTTCACCTGTGCCACCATGGCGACTGAGCTGGTGCCTCTGGCCAGTGTGCTGCCAGCAGCCCAGGGCTGGGTCTGCTGCAGGCCTCCCACACCAGGTGACTGGAGGACAGGGGAGGCACGGCGCCGGCTGAGAGAGGGCCGAGGCCGCTCAGAAACGCTCGGGCGATGGTGAGCAGCGGGGACTACTCTGTGTGCCGTCCCTTGGTCCGCGGCTGCGCAGTGCTCAGTGCCAGGCGCTGGCTTAAGCACCTGAGACACAGACAGACACGCTCGTGCTCCCATCTTACAGACGAAGGAACCGAAGCCCTAACGGCCACTCGCCTGCCCAACACCACGGGGCCAGAGAATGGCAGAATCTGAGCCCCTCGCCGCTGTGCTACACCGCCCTGACCACACTTCCCGAAGCTTCGGGAAGGAAAATACTTGCTCGGTGCCATTTGTGTGACCTGAGTTCACCGCTTCTCTCCCTGACACTGCTGACCTTGTTCTCTGGACCAATCTAATCTGAGCCGACTGACCCCCCAGCAAAAAGTCCGAACAACCGGAGCTGAGCGTTCCCAGTCGGATGCGTGAGCGGGTATAAAGGCGAGGAGGGCCGGAGGGGAGGCAGGGCTCCAGCCCAAAGGGCCTGCCCAAGGCCTCGGGGAAGAGCCAGCCCCTCCTCAGAGCTGTGGGGCGGCAGCGGGGCGGGGAGGGAGGCTGGGGCAGGGCGGGCCACCTGCAGCTCTCTGACTTTAAGAGAAGAGGTCTGGCTGGAGAAGGACCTGTGGGGTCTGGGCTCAGCGCACGGGCCTGGCTTCTTTCCAGCTCCTCCTGTTCCACGCTCAGAAGCCCTCGCTGAGCAGGGAGCATTGTCACACCCACCTTCCAAGACGCCCTGCGGCCCAAATGCTCGGTGGGTGGTGGGGAGGACACGCCCTGGGAGGCAGAGGTAGGGATGGGCGAGGCACAGTCAGCAGGAGCCATGATGTTGCTTTAAAGTCTTATTTTGGATATTTGACCGAAATTGTCTATTGTTACGCATTTCTCTGGAGGGGACGGAAAGTGGGCCAGATTCTTTGGGAGCTTGAATGTGATTCTGCTGTGACCCTGGCAATTCTGCCAAAGCAGTAAAAGGCATTTTATGGTCTCGCTGAGTCTTTTGCATTCTGGAAATGAGTTTCTCAAATCAAAACTGCATTTCTGAGAAGTGCACGAGAGCAGCAGCCTGGATGGCTGACTCGCCGAGCCCTCTCTGTCCCCAGCCCTCCATTTATAGATGGCAGGTCTGTCCTGAGCAAAGCCCGCAGCCCTCGGCCGGAGAGCGAGAAGGGGAGGGGAGGCTCTCCCGGAGCCCAGAGAGGCTGAGGGCAAAGGAGAGCGGGAGCCCGGCGGGGAAGGACGTGCGGGGGACAGGGGCGGACGCGAGGCCCCTCGGGGTGTGTCACTGCTCCCGGCCGGCAAGCCCAGGCCCAGGGCCATCAGAGGAGACGCTGGGCGGCAGGGCGGGTGGAACCGAGACCATAACCGGGACCATAACCCAGGCCTCTACTCCGACCTCACACGGTCCTCGCCCCACCGCCGTGGGCCACTCACGCACACGAAAGGAGGATCTGCCACTCGTGTGACTGATGGCGGCAGGACAGCAGCAGCTCCTACCTTGTCGCCTCGGTCGCCTTTCTGTCCCGGAAGGCCCAGGTCACCTTTCTCTCCCTGCAGCGAAGGATGACAGCAGGAAACATTAGAAGCCGACTGAGCGTGACGCCTGCCTCGCCCCCGAGAACAGTGGGACCCTGGACGAACCCCTTTGCTCTCCGACCGGCTCTTGCCTCGGCAGTAAATGCCACGGGAAGCCCAACTCCAGGGCGCGCCCTGCCAGTTAAGCTGAAGCACCTGATTCTCCACTCGGCACCAACAGATGCCGCCCCCCTTCCTGTCATGTCCATCTGAAGACGCCCCCCCAAGATCTCTCGGCCACCGCCCTCTCGCCCCAGCTCACAGACCACAGCAGCTTGCTCCACCCCCCACCCCCGTTCTCTTCCTTGAACTCTGGGGAAACACTCTCGAACCCAGGCCCAAATCCCACCCACCCCCAAGGGACTAGGCTCCAAAGGGGCTGCTTCCCACGGGCACGGGGGCCTCAGTGGGAGGCGTGGCCACCACTCACCCGCTCTCCTCTCTCCCCACGCAGGCCCGGGAATCCTGGGGCGCCCGGGAGCCCCGCCTGCCCCTGTGGAGACAACACAACCTGTCTGTCAGCGCACCCCAGGGAGGCTGTCCCGGCCAGGCCATGGGACGCCTATTCCCTACTTCCTGCTCCCCAGCCCCCCAGAGAGCCCGGCTTAGTGGAGGTGGTGCGGAACGCACAGCAGTGTTGAAGGGGGGTCCAGGGGGCGCGCACGGGGGTGTCCCCACTCCCAGGACCCGCCTGGCCTCTCGTGTCTGCCCCTCGCCCTTCAGGGCTCACACAATCTCGCCTCCTGGACACCCTTCCTGGCACTCCCCAAGTCTCAGCAAGGGGGGCCTCCTGTGCCCCCCGACCCTCAGCTGCACGTCAACTCTCACTGCACCTGCTCAATGGCTCGTGGTTCATGGTTGTGACCCGTGCCCAACACAGTGACAGATGCTCAGGACATGGTGATAGTTACCATACAAAAAAGCATGGAATGAATTTACTGAGCCCCCAGAAGGCAACGGACACAGGCCTGATGTGTACGAATGAATGAATGAATGAGTGAATGAGTGAATGAAGCACGGAGTGAAAACGATGGATGAGTGATGGTACGAACATACAGACCTTGTCTCCAGGTCGGCCTGCCAGGCCCTGCTCCCCAACGTCACCCTGCAGAGAGTAAGAGACACCCCATTACCTTCCGCTCACACTTGCAGAGATGGCCGCCGATCCCCAGGTGTCCCCACACACTCGCAGCCCCTGCCAGCCGCAGCCCCTGATTCTCAAACACGGGGCACATGAGCCACAGGCCGTGGAAAGCAAGGGTCTCACGTTTCTGGAGAAGGGGCTCCACAGTCCCTCACATTGTGCTCTGCTTCCCCCAAAGGAAAGAACTTCTAGAACTGCCCTGGACAGAGTCTACAGGTTGGATCCTCTCGTCCTGAATCCAAACGCTTACAACTCGGAACAGTGAGAGGCCAAAACCTAGGACTCCTACGCTCGCCACAGCCCTGGGCTTAATTGCACTTTGCGGACACCCAGACCCCGGCTCGGTCCAGTGACAAAAGAGAAGCCGCTGAGAACATGTCCCAGCTGACCCCTGGCCGCGGAGGTCCTTCAGACCTTGTGAGCACAGGCAGCCAGGCGGCAGGCAGTAAGAGCTGGCTTTCCCCTCCCCCACGGCGTGCCACGACAAAGGCCGGTCTTGGGTCAGTGCTGGTAAAGTCCAAATGGACCCTGGAAAGCAAGCGCCAGGCAGGGCTGTCTTGGTTCCGGGAGGCTGGTTGAAGCCTTGTGCTCAGCCAGGAGGGACCTGACCAGCGTTCCGTAGACAGGATGAAGTGGGGGCACAGGGCCAGAGTGGCCTGTTCTCCGACCCCATGGCTGCTGGGCTTACTGGGTCCCTACAAATAAATCACTGACACAAAGAGGGGTGTGGTGGGGGTAGGGGTGCAGTTTCTGGCCAGCGATGTGTCTTGAGAATCACCAACTTCTTGAATGAGAATTAATTTCTAACATCCATTATGCTAGTTAGCAAAACCTCTGTGTAGATTCCATGAGAAAAGGTGTGCACATGAATGAATGAATGAACGAACTAACGAACGAACAAGTGAATGAGCACGTACGTACACATGCACACAGGGCTTTCCCTGCAGCTATGCCGACTCAGTTGGCAGTGAAGGCCAGCGCCACCACCGCTCACCAGAGAGGAAGACGAAAAATAGAGTCAGAAAGTAAATAACCGAAGCGCTATGTGAGCAGCTAGGCACACACTCTGGTGCCACCGGGCGAACTGGCGTCTGAAGTCAGCACTCGCAGCAGCGCCAGACGCCCCCCTTCTGCCATCAGTCCCTAGGGTGTCCAGGCGCAGTTAGGAAGAACCGCCCTAACCGGAGCTGGGCAAGCACCTGCCACTCGAATGGCCACTTGACGCCTGCTGGCATGGCAGCACTTTGGCAGTGGGAACCGCTGGCTTGGGCACCGAGGGGCTGTTTGGTTAGAAGGTGTCCCGAGAGCCTCCTGAATGTGTGCTGTGACCCCTGGCCAGAGGCGCGGTGGACGGAGCACTGGGCAGCAGCCCGACCTCTCGAGGCCGATGCACCTGGCCCGGAAAGCAGCTCTGTCCTCCGAGTGGACCCACAACCCGCCTCCGGGAGCGGCCACACTCTTCTCGGCAGAAGCGCATCTTCAGCTGGCGTTTTGTCAAAACGAAGTAACGAGACCCCGGGCCCGTTCTTCCAGACGAGAGTACGTTGTCAATGCATCAGAAATTCATAGCTGCAGAAATTCGTAGCTTTGAATTTTCCAGAGAAATGTTTTACACACGCAGCGCTGGAAACTGCATAAAGATGACGCGAGCCGTAGCGACTTCTCTGTGGGGGTCTCGCAGCCACCAGCGGTCGTCAGAGACAGACAGACAGCATGTCCACTGGAAAACTAAAATCCCTGAGGGCCCCCAATTTCCTCCCGGTACTCCTCACGGCGGACCGCTGCATCTGCAGAACCCCGTGCAGGGGACGCGGCGATGGCTTCCGAATGCCACCGGTGGGGACACAAACGATGGCAGGGCAAGCCCGGCCAGCCCCCCCGTCCCCAAACGCAGGAGCACACGGCCAAGGGGCACGGTCGCCTCCAGAGAACCGATGGAGTCAGGACTGAAAAGAACAGCAAGCCTGTGCCGGCGCCTGAAGTCCTTTCTGGAAAGTGACAGCACTTCAACCAGTCAGTCAAACACGCCTACGAGACCATGAGCTTCACCCCACACAGCCACCTCCAGATACGCGGGCACAAAACACAGCCAATGAGGTATTATTACAGGCTGATGGCTTGCGGATCATAATAAATATTTTCTGAAAACACAAACGTTGATTCTTAAAACACGAAGAACTGCTGAGCTTGGAAGTGGCAGGGGGGGGGCTCGCTGTGCGCTGATGCGGGGGCGTGAGGGCCGAGTCCTAGGGCCGAGTCCTAGGGAGCAGGAGGCCTCCTGCGGGGCATGGGGACACGCTCTCCACGCCTGAGCCACCTGGATATGCGGGAGACAGCGTGGGCACCATGCAATCTATGCTTTTATTGTCCCGCTTTCATCTGGTCTTCTGAAGAACAATCATTTTATAAAACAGGGACGGGCCCAAGGACCTGCCCGTCAGCCCTTCCCTGGTCAGCAGAGTGCTGAGTCCTGCCCACCCACTGTGTGGAGGCCAGGCCCTCGCTGTGCCCTTGCTGGGCTGAATGCGTCACCCACCCTCCACCCAGTGAACCCTCCCTGAGCACCAGCAAGGGCCTGACGGAGGCTGGGAGCGGGGAGGGAGGCGGCCAAGACCACGTCATAGCCCTTACCCCGCTGGTAGAGCCCAGCAGAGGGCGAAGCTCGGTGGGTGGAGGGGAGGGCGTGCTCCCCGTGCAACCGCCTGCGAGGGCACAGAGTTCCCCAGGGCCACCAGCGCACGTGCATGCCAGCTTCCCCAGCACGCCACACCCCCGACACACACACATCAATCACACGCCCAGACACACACATACATCAATCACACACCCAGACACACACACACACACACAAATCACGCACCCAGACACACACACACACACATCACACACCCAGACACACACACACACATAAATCATGCACCCATACACACACACACATAAATCACACACCCAGACACACACGCACACACATAAATCACGCACACATAAATCACACACACGCACACACAAATCACACACACATCACACACACACACAAATCACGCACCCAGACACACACACACACAAATCACACACCCAAACACACACATAAATCACACACCCAGACACACACGCACACACACAAATCACACACACATAAATCACACACACACACGCACGCGCACACAAATCACACACACAAATCACACACGCACACACATCACACACACACACATCACACAATCACACACACACACACAAATCCCCCCCCACACACATCACACAATCACACACACATAAATCGCACACACACATAAATCACACACACACACATCACACAATCACACATACACACACAAATCCCCCCACACACACATCACACACACATAAATCACACACACACGCGCGCGCGCACGGTCCAGCGCTCTCTTCTGTCTCTGCACTCTGAGCCCTGGCCACATCTGAGACATCGAGCTCAGGGCCTCGCGACAGGAGGAGACCCTGCAGCGCGCGCGCGCGCGCACGGTCCAGCGCTCTCTTCTGTCTCTGCACTCTGAGCCCTGGCCACATCTGAGACATCGAGCTCAGGGCCTCGCGACAGGAGGAGACCCTGCAGCCCACCAGGAGAGCCACAGTGAAGCAGAGCTTCCTGGACGGAGCCAGGGCACCCAGGGGCAGCCACGCAAAGCTAGCGCTTGGGGTCCCCACAGCCACAGGAGGGGCCCTCTCCAAGCTGCATGTGTAGTGGCCTCCGCCTCCCCGTCAGGTACATTGTGACACTGTCCCCACAGGGAGCCCCAGGGGGCTGACTCCACAGACGGAGGCAGCTGGTCCTTCCCTCCAGGATTTCTACAGGAGCCCGCCAGCCTTAGGGACAGTGGCGAGAGGGCGAAGCTCCAAGGAAGGGACGAGGGGGGAACATGGGTCGGGGGGAAGAAGGGAGGGAAAGGGGGAGATGGAGAGGGAGGGGGACGGGCCCCTCCTCCATTCAGAAGCCCACGCGTCCGCTTGCTCCCCTGTCCCAGAGGTGCTGTGACTCTCCAGCGCTGCCGTTCCCATGATGTGTCACTTTCCCTGTTGGGGCCTCTCACCTTTTCAGGCAGCCCCTTTCCAAGGACCCCACTTGTCCCCTGCCGGACCCCGGCTGACACTGACCGCCCCGCAGCTGGGGCAAACACACTGCTCCAAACATACTCCCCGCAAAGACACGCGATGGGGAGGAGGCGGGTCCCTACCCGAAGGCCAGGCTTCCCGGGCAGCCCGTCGTCCCCTCTGCCTCCTGGCTCTCCCTGTAAGGAATGCAGTCAGGTCAGCAGGAGCACAGGATGGAAGGGAGGACCGCGTGGCCTTGGGCAGCCTGGGCGCCTGTCATTCCGCGTGACCACGGTGACCAAATCAGCAGCCCATACCGCCTCCGAGGCTCCGCGTTTGATGATGCTACCTTTGATTTATTTTATAAAAACATAACTGAGTAGAAATGGTGCTCTTCTCCACTGAGAGATTTGAGTATGGAAGATGTTCCACAAATGTCTTTCGAATGCAGAGGACTTGGTCAGCCCTAACCCTTTGTCTGGAAAGATAAGGGAGAAGGATGAAGAACGTTTCCATGAAATTAAGTTAAATCCACATGCAGTCTGCATTTCGTCATTAACAATTGAGTTTCTAAGTCTGCTTATTGAAAAGGATGACGAATTTTCCCATAATTTGAAAAGCTCCTTTCAAGGGCGGTTGGCCTGGGTACGTGGACTTAACATCTGCTATAAAAGAATAAAGTCCGTTTGTTAAAACACATGTTCTCTCGTTGTGTAATTATTCCTCTGCAGTGTATAAACTGGGAATATGCTCTCCAAATTTAATTTTTAATCTCTGATTCTTTGCTTAATGATTCTACTATAATAAGCCTCAACAGAATATTTCTAAAATTAAAGTCTCTTATTATGTAAGAGTCTCTGAAAGTTTTTCCTCCTTGTGAATTAAATAAACACGTTTCTAACAGATTGATTTTAAAGGTCAAGGCTCCCAAACCCTTCCCCAGCTACCTAAGAAGAAAGAGACGTTGCCCACACCTGCCTTTACGAACCCAAACACTGCTGCATCCTGACCCAGGGTTTGCAGTCAACTTATTTCAGAGCTCCCCAACAACGGAAATCCCTGCTTTTCTATGTTTTGGGCTCCCAAGCCTGTGCAGCCCACGAGGATACCAACCTTGGGTCCTGGCAGGCCTGGGGGTCCATACGGCCCGTCCTTCCCGGGTGGGCCCTGGGCCAAGAAGGAGAAAAACAGACAGGAATGAAAGGCGTGTTGCGGGCAGCACTGCGCCCTGGTCCTCCCAGCTGGGAGCCGACTTTGCAGCCGGCGGCCACAGCACCGGGCTCCCCGCCTTCCCCGCGACTCTGGGGTCTCTGTGGGACTGCGCTCTCCCCACACCCGCTCTGGACGAGGCCCGGGTTCCAGCACCCTGGACACACGTGGTGGCAGCAGGGGGCAGGACGGCCACTGAACCTGGCCCCATTACTACCTCGTCTCCACAAGGCCCCTGGGAGGTGGAGCCCCCCGGCCCCGCCCCCCCATCCTCTCCGCCATCACGTTCTCCTTGCCCTCTGCCACCCTCCCTCACGACCGCCCTTCACAACTGCACACGTCAGCCTGCTGGTTTGGCATGAACCCAGTCCGCCCCTTCCTCCAATGATGGCACTGACCGGCTCCGTGTCCCACTGTCCAGTCCCAGGTGCCTTCTCCATCCCCATCCTTAGGACATGGCACCGGTGTCACTGCAGCTGTTTGCACGTGACGGGACACGAGCTGAGTGACTCGCTCTAGGTCCCACGGCCAGTAACGGGGACCCGCAGGTCGAAACGCAGGCGTCTCGGCTGCACCTCTGCTCCTTCCACTCCCCCAGAGTCACCTCTCTTTGCTGTTCTGTGCCTGAAGTGACAGCCTCCCCGTGACAGACACAGGGAAATCCTATCCCCGCAAACGACAGCTCACACGTTACTGCTTCGGCAGATGTGAGTGCTCTTCCAAAGCTGTGATTTTTTTATAAACCCAGTAATTCTGTGCAGAGAGCCCCCGCCACCCATTTAGGACGCATATCGCCCTGTGCCTCTGGCCTGGGCTGGTGGCCGGGGGAAGGAGCGTCCCCTCACCCCAGCAGGGGTCTGGGCGGCAAGGCCCGGAAGGGTGGGGGCAGGGCGCGTCTGGGGTCACGGTCAGGGCAGCCCACTTCTGATGGACAACAACACTAAAGCCAGGGCAGTGCTTCGGACCCTTGGGGCCATGACCCCCCGCAACCCAGAAACGCTCCGACTGCCTTCTTCCCTGTCCTCAACACCCGACCACCCTCTGAACTTTCACACTAACACAGTCTCTGTGACGAACCCAACAGATGGGATGAGACTAAGCTTCGGATCAGGCGTGCTTAAGCTTTCAGACAAAACGCTTGTTGGTAACACTGCGGGTGACCAGGGGTTCCGGGGTCAGTCCACCCGACGGGGTACATCACGACTCTCAGTTTCCGCCCGGAGCCCCTCAGGATCTGAGTGCTTAGGCTGCCGGCATGCCCACATCGCTGCCCTGTCTCCCGGGGGTCTCGATCTACAGCCACTGACCAGGGGCACAACTGCTGTGTGCTATACAATCAGACTCACCTGTCACCCCTTCTCCTGTGACTGGACCCCCCTCCGGTGCTCTGGGCTCCCCAGGCTCCCCCAGCCTTCCCCACCCGCTGGCCCCGCCAGAGACAACTAGTCCCTTCCAGTGGAACCGAGGCCTCCGTGAGGGCCACCGGCAGGTCTCTGATGGTCCGTCACGGCCACGTGGCCTCAGGCTCACAGAACACACCTACTATCCCGCCCTGAAGAGCGACCGGACACAGGACAAAAGGGCAGCTTCGCGCACTCACTGCGAGCGGACACACTGCTGAGCCCACCCTCGGGACCTAAAAGAAACAGGAGGCCCCCGAGCCCAGCGCCCCCCACTTCGGGAGTGAGGAGACACGTCAGAGTGACGCAGGAAGGGCTCTGCCACGTCCTGGGCCACCCCTCACATCCCTACGCCCATCATGCCTGCCGCCCTCCGCCAGCATCCCTTACAAACAAGAAGGCACGCTTGAAACAGCCAAGGACTTCAGAACGTGCCTTTGGGTGACGAGAGCAAGGGCGTGCGGGGACACATCCCAGGAAACAGCAGGTGAGGGTACCACAGAAGGAAGAGGCCGTGCTGAGCATGGGGACCCCGGTCCCTGATGACAGGGAGGGAAGGGCACGGAGTCCCCCGCTCTGGGGGGCAGCCCTGGCTGGAAGGGCCCGGCTGAGTGGACACGGAGCAATAGGTGACAGGGGAGAGAGGAGGGGCAGACGCCAGGACACTCACCGCCTGCCCGGGCGGCCCAGGCTTTCCGGGGAAGCCGATCTCTCCAGGCAAACCCTGCAAAGGGGACATGCAGCACTGTCAGTGTGACCTCCTCACAGGTCCCCCCTCCCACCGCCTTTCCAGGGCTTATCTAGTCTACGGTCAGGGCCACTGTCACACTCTTCCCTGGTGGGCCAGGGGGACCCCTCCCTCTGGGGAACGACTGCCCGGCTCCCTGCCCCTGCCCCTCGGCCTAGGGCAGAACCTGCCCAGCTGCCCCTGAAGTGGGGGAGGCCTACCCTGGCCCTCTGGTGCCTCAGAGCAAACCGCGAACCCCTAAAAGGCGCTGGAACGGACAATCCCAGACTAACACGCCTCTTCCACGTGCCTAGAGCAGCCAAGCAACGTGCTAGGTGACCCAGCGACACTTCTCATCTAAGGGGCTCACGGGCCGGAGAGCGCAGAGGCCCGGGGTGGCTGCGGGTGCCGTCCTCGTTTATGCTCTGGCCTTGGACAAACAGCAAACAGGTGGCGGCACAAAGATGCTCCCACAGGCCATGCAGCGGCCCTCTAAGGGCCCAGCAAGAGGAGCAAAGCCAGTCTTACCGGGGGGCCTCTGGGTCCAGGGGGTCCCGGCACGCCAGGTGGTCCCTGCAAGGAAAGCACAGAGCGGGTCACAAACACGCACGGAGCAGCCTCCTGGTGGCGCTGTCCTTCCGCAAAAGACGGGAGGGGACAGTGATGGGTGGGGCTTCAGCTTTATTTGCGATGCCTTATTTTTTAAGAACAAAAGAAAAAAGATCCGAAGGCAATTGACAAAATGTTAACATGTATCACATTTGCGTGATGGGAACTTAACTGTTACGCTGTCTATTCTGCTGTGTCTTTAACTACTGGAGCCTCTAAAATGGATACACGTTTGTGTGTGTGTGTGTGCGTGTGTGTGTCAGCGGGTCAGCCCATCTCTCAAAGGTCTTCTGGAACAGCAGCGCCCAAACATTAGTCAAGGCGAAGGACCTCGCTCCTCCCCCGCCCCACCCCGCCCCGTGGCCAGGGAAGACCACCTCTGTACCTCCAGCCCCGTCTGCTCCGCTTTCTCCCCAGATACGACTCCCTCCCTCCCTCCCTCGCCTCCGTTCTCAGATGTCTCCACCTCTGAAATTGCCCCCAGTTCCCCAGAAGGCACGGACCCACCCTCCCCCATGCTCAAGGCCAGTGGGATTATGGTCCTCTGCATCTCAGCCAGCGACAACCCCAGGGCTCCACATGTGGAGAGCCGGCTCTCCATAACTGAGCAGAAAGCTGTGCACGCAGACACCACCACCACCACGGCGCCACTAGAGGGCGACAGACTCTAGGAAATGCCAGAGGCTGCCCGTGCGCGGACAGTTTCCTTTTCTCCCTCCGGGGGTCCCTGGGAGTCGACGATGGACACAGAAGCGGGTTGTTCGCTGAACGTGACTTCTCGGTGGGATCTGGACCCCGCTTTCTCTGCAGCTCGCTCAGTCCTGGTGGGTCTGTGGGGGTCCCCATCTACCTTTGTTGGGAGATACCTGCTTGGAGCTAGAGCACTGAGGAGCCAGGCAGAGCTGGACGGTGGCCTGGGCCGGTCCCCCACAATGTGAGGACAGGGGTGGGGGGGACAGCACCACAGAAGCCTTGGCCTCGCCTCTGCTGTCACTCAGCCGTCCCCTCCCCCATGCTGCTCCCACTTAGCTCTGTTCACCCCTCGTGGCAAAGCAACAGCCACGCCGGTGACACAGGACCTGCCCTTACAGGTGAGTCTGGGAGATCTGCTTTTACTTCAAGGTGACCTCGGAGGTGCTCACAGCACCCTCAACCCCAGAGTTCACCCGAGGCCCCCGCCCACCCCGGGCAGCACGCTCCTCGCCAGCAATTTGGGTGCAGTTCCTCATCCTCCCTCCTTACATTTCCGGGATGCCCGTGGCCCCTGAGCGTCTTGCACTGCTGCAAAGTGGTTGTTCCCGGGAGCTGGCCCCCTGGCCAGCTCATCCCCTTGACCTTGCCTCCCCGTCCTCCTTCTTGTCTTGCAAACACCCCTGCAGGCGGCTGCTGCTGTTTGCTTGTTCCAGTAGACAGACACAAGTCCTCACCTACCAGAAATGAAACTTCCCTATCTGACAATAATGGAAACTGAGGCCCAGACAGTGTCAGGGCCCCTCCTGAGGTCACACAGCCATCATGTCCAGTGTATCCTGGACAGCTGGGCTCCTGCAGAATCACCTGGAGAGCGCATAGTAAATACAGGCACACAGGCCCCTTGTTTGGTCTCTGAGATACAGGTTTGGGACAAGTCTGAGGGGTCGGTGACTTAGGAAACACTCCCCAGGTAATTCTGGAGGGCCGCCTGGTCTGGGACTCACCCGCCTTGACCATCTCCGTGCTCCGGCCTAACTGCCATCGGCGCAGCTAATACGACAAACACAGGATTCAAGGGACCCACGAAAGAAGCAGAAAACAGACGCAGAAGGTGAGGAGAGCAGCCCCCCCTGTTCAGCGTCCACTCTGCACGTCAGCTCACGCTGACCCCGTGAGGGGATCCCGCCCATTTCACAGACAAAGAACTGGAACTTGGAGGAAAATGAACCAATACTAGACAAAGCTGGCGTGCACGCGCAGTGTCCCCGATCCCCCACCTTCCCCACCCACCCTACGACTCCACCCTGCGAAGCATCTGCACAGATGGGGACACGGGACTCGCCCCCTCCTGCCGCAGCCCCCTCCCCCCGAACAGCGCTTTCCTAGAAGGCCATGTGTGTATTAAGTGGGACGAGACCCTGGGGCTCCACGGGGGCTGGAAGATGTCAGGGTCCCCCTCCAGGGCCCGCAGCACCTGGCTGGTTGCTATGCTCACAGTCAGGGGCTAATAACTATCCTCCGGTCTGCGGCTGCAGGCTCAGGGGGGAGAGCACAATCCCACAGGGCAATTAAACCTAAGTGCAGCGCCCACTTACGAACAGCGGGAGAAGCTGGGAGCACGCGGCACCAGCTGTCAGGAGTCTGGAAACTGCTTCCGGTGGGGGCCACACAAAGGGGACAAGCCAGTCACCTCCAGCCTCCTTTCCAATGCAAAGCCAAGTAAGGAACCCATGGATGGGGACAGCAGTCAGGACGCGACCGCCCTCCGGTGCTCTCTGGACCCCGACAGCCACGCAGAGACACATGGCGGTGACAGAAGCTCTGCCTGAAGTGGCCGCTTGGCCTCGCAAGGTTCTGACGGTCACCTCCCGGAAGGCTGTGACCAGCCTCCTCCAGGTGACCAGACACCTCGTGCAGAGTGGGCCTCGTTCTGGTGACGCTCGATGCTTCTGGCACAGCCTCGGGCAGCCGTGGGACAGGAGCAGTGCCTGAGGGGACCAGGACACCCTGGAAAGCTCAGGCTGCTGACACTTCCCAGAGGTAACTGGGAAATCTACATTTTCAGGCATATTCTTCCATTTTAAAAAATCCAACTTGGCAACTATTTTGAGAATTAGACAACACAACAAAAAACAGCTGCACAACCACATAAAGCGTATCTGTGGACAATTAAGGTGTTCGGGTTTGCGGTCTATGACGGTCGCAATCTCTAAGGTGGACGAATTGCCAACAGGTGTCACCCTCAGAGGGTGACAACTGGAGAGGCACAGGGTCTGGGCGTGCCGCATGTTGACCCCGGATGGAGGAGAACGCGCTGACAACGGGGCCCACACGGGCCATGTCAAGGTCTCCAGTGACTCCCAGCGAGGCCCAGACGGGCATCGTGAGTCTCGTCTCCAAACTTCAGCTGTGCACGGTGTTCCCTGGGCCACAGGCGTGCCTGCCTGATGGGGTCGGAGCACTCTGCCCTGCTTTCCAGGGAAAGGAGCTGCGGGAGAAGCCTTGTGCACTGCACCCCAACTGTCCAGGCTACACGGCCACCTCCGTCCTCTCCTGGCCTGTGTGTGAGAACGCTCCAGTCCCCAAGGAGGCCTCAGGAGATCAGGCTGAGGCACACGTCTCATCTGTCACAAACGTGCAGCATGTTCACGAGTGAGAAGCGAAGGTGAGTCGGGAAGCGCAGGAGCCTCGGATGGAAAACAAAGTGTCAGGACGTGACAGGGTATTGGTGGCCCCACAGAGGCCTTCGAGGGGAGTAGGGACAATGAGCAGACGTGGCCTTCGGTCCTTACAGCAAAGGCCCCTGCAATGTCCTGGGGTCCCTGGAGACGTGGCTCCCGGAGACCCAGGACGTGAGAGACAGAGATCCCTCCTCCAGACGATGCTCACTGGCACCTCCTGGGTCCCACTGGGACCTCCAGGGCCCTGCCCACCCCTCCAGGACGCTGCAGTCTAGCAGGATAAATAAAACCCTCAGTGCCTGCTGGATAAAGCAGGGCGCGGTGTCAGAGGCGGGGCTAAATCCCAGGCTGGGTTCTGGGTGGGGACCACAGCAGCAGGAGCCCACCTGGAGAAGATGCGGACACCAGTGGTCCCTCCGGGGAATGCTGGGTTGGGTGGGTGTGCGGCTCCCAGGCGAGCTGCGGGGTCTGTGCTGGGGGCCGAGGTCTGCGCATCACAGCCCATGGAGGACGCCCAGCCGGGGCCCTGCGCGAGCCCATGAGACAGGCCCGTGGGAGCCCTCGCACCCTGCCCTGGCCTGTTTTTGGAGCGGGGGTACAGCTAGGACAGACGGCAAAGCCGACCCAGACACGACAGCCCGAGCGCAGGGGAAGCCTCTCCAGGCGTCTGCTCCCAGGTACCTGGAGGACGCGTGCTGCGAAGGAAGAAGGACGATCGCCTGGCAGACAGGTGGACTAAAGGGGGCTGGGGAAGGGCCTCCTCCCTCGGGAAGCCGTGGGGCGTCCCTGCCCGGAAGGGGGCTGATCCAGGGGCGCGTGGAGAGGAAGCAGACTTGGATGAGCCCCAGAGACGTGCGAGGCCGTGGGGAGGCCGAGCCTGACAGCAGGGACGATCCCTGAAAGGTTCTGCTGTGACGGGAACAGAGAAGTCAGGCGGGAGCTGGAAGGGACAGAGGGCCGAGTGAGTTATTATTTTTAAGGTGTGTCGCGTGCGTAGGCTGGGGGTGACCCTCTGGAAAGGGTGCCTAAGGCTCGCAAAGTCCTTGAGAAGGAAGGAAGGGCCGAAGCCAAAACGCAGCGGAGGAATAGGCTACGACAGAGCAGCCCTTCTCCCAGTGGGGCCAGAGAAAGGGCGGCGAGGCTGGCACAAAGGCAGGTGGCAGGAGACTCGGGCAGCGGGGGCAGGCGGGGTGGACGAGTTTCTCCTGCGCTCCCTCCATGCCCTCTGCGCAGGACGGGGCGGCCCGCAGCTGTGCGGAGCGTGCGGGGGAGTTAAACACAGACGAGCCCGTGTGAGCAGCCCGTCTGAGAACGGGGAGGTGCGTGACTGCCCCTCAGTGCTGGCTCTGCACCTGCGACTGCTCTGTGGCCATGAGGTGCAGTAGAGTCAGCGGGTGACATGGCCCCCCGACTACACGCCTTGGGCCCCACGGCAGGCCTGTCTCCCAGTAACGGCGGCATTAGAGCGTATACAGAGAGGGGTCCCGAGCTTAGGGACCATCAGACACAACCCCCTTATTGCACAGGGGACAAAGCTGAGACCACGGTGGAACGAGGCATGGGCAGGACACACGCCCAAGGTGGCTGGTGACATGAATGGGCTTCCCCAGATTCCCTGTCCACTTCTTTCTACAGGAAACCAAACCGTCTCAGTTACCTGCTCCCCAAACTCTGAACAACGTACAGGGCGGACGGTTTAACAACTCCGCCCAGGACTGGGAGCGCGAAGCCTGGCCTCCTGCGGGGTTCGGTTCATTTCCTGCAGGCACCACGGCTGACTGAGCATTATCAAATCCCAGCCCAGCCCAGGTCGGGCCCACAGGACCCCTCCAGACACCGGTGCTGAGTCATGAAGTGCCACTTCCAAGAAGACCAGTCACTTCATTTCTTCAGGGAGCTAAGGTAGCAGCTTATGCCTTTGATCTTCACAGGGTTTCTGACCGAGGACAAAATTCCCTGTCTGCTATTTCAGCATTTGAATCACAGATGACAAATCAGAAGGTTACCTCAGACTAAAACGATGTGACTGTTAATAACTGCATCGGTAGGAATGAAGGCGCAGACGGGACGATGCGGCTTTGGTTTAAGGTGGCCTGGGTCAAGTGCCGGGTCACCTCATACCACCGAAGGGACTGGGGCGATGGGCGCCACCTCTCAGCGCCTCAGTCTCCCCAGCTACCATGAAAGGTGGGGGCCCCTGAATTAGTGAAGGGGTGTAAACTAGCCCCCCACACGGGCAGCTTCCACAAGTGTGACTTCACTCTCCCCTCTTTGTGTCATTAATAAACATCTCTAAATAACCAATTACTCTAATCATTGAGTGACGAATTAGTCAATAGATCTAAACGTTAGCAACAAAATAATGACTGTTTTATTACTAATGAAAACAGCTAAGTAATGACTTTACTTATTAATTACCCGGTCTAATTATTAATGAAATGATATTTGATCCAATTCGTCAGTAACCAAACAGCTCTTTACTGTGATTAGTAATTACAATGATGCATGAATAACTAATCAAAATAATTATCATTAATAAATGCATGGCAAATATTTATTCCTAATAGCCACCTCGTTCCCGTCGGTATAGATTTAGAAAGTCACGTAGAATGTGAAGATGCAGTAAATGATCTGCATAGATAGACATAGCGGTCGCCTTCCCTGTATAGCTCCCTACCGTGTTTTGGGGGAAGCTGTTTATAATCTGCGAGCCCTCCCCTCAGACTGTGGCTCCCGGGGCAGAACCATAATGGCCCGCCCCTCAGCCAGCTTCTACAAAGAGGTCCAGGCCTAAAAGCCCGCCCAGCCTTCTGGGCCAGCCCCTCGCCTGGCTGCGTTCCCACCAATGCAAGTGACTTCTGTCCATCCAAACACAGCATCCGGCAGCACTGCCTCTGCAAACACTCGACCAACCGGACACAGATTTCCATTTTCCCTAAAAGGCTGCCAGGACACAGGAGCCACCTCCTACGACGTCACGCGTGTACACATTTATCCTAAAACACTCTGGCAGGTGAAATTTTTCATCTTCAAAAAGAGGCACACGAAGCACCCCATAGGATGCCAGCTGCCCTGGGGCTTCTTACACTCGGAGGCTGCGGTGCTGACTCGTCAGTTACAGCTGAAACCAATTAAATCCCGAGCTCAGTCTCTACGTTTAAAATGGGATAAGCATTCGTTCTTCTCAGAATAGTCATGATCACACGTGAACGCTCAAGGGAGCGTCTGATGATAACAGAAACAAACGCTGTGTCTCCCTCCCTGCTCTCGTCAGGGCACAAGGCGCTGCGACTTATTCTGCCAGTACAGTCGACCTTGACTCTCCCATCAGCGTGGGGACGGCCCTCTGGGCCCCGAGAGGCCGCGGACCCCTCTCCCAGAACTCAGCTCTCCCTGCGTCTCCCCCAGGCACGGGTGGGGGCCGCCTGGATGCCACGTCCCGGGGCTGAGGCTGGCACATGGCGGGCACTTAACATTTGCCGAATCGACGATTCGCTGACTCATTGAACAAATGCGCCAACACGTGGAAGGCGAGCAGAAGGCTGTGCCTGCTCAGGGAAGGGGGGTGTGCAGGCGTGTCGGGAAGGGTGCGTTTGAGAAGGGCAGAGAGCCACATCACAGTGCTGCCTCGAACGCACCTCTGTGCCCGTCGGGTAGGGAGCCGACCCAGGGTGCTGGGCAGGACATACGATAAACCGTGTATCACCTGGTTCGGAACCACTGAGTCCCCGAACGTGTCGGGGTGCCCTATTGCTGGCCAGATCCCCCCCATTGCAAGCCTGAGCATATACTGATATTTACAGCGTCCAGCTCAGTGTCTGGCATTCGGTTAAGATTCGCTGAATGAAAATGACTTCAACATTTTAAATGAAAAAAGGAATTGTATTTTCCAAGGTAGCAAACAAAGAGTTCTGGGGGAAAAACGCAGAACAGAACAAAACTGTAGCCTAAGGTGATTTGACGGAGCTGCTGGTAAAGTTTAAAAAAAAACAAAACCCACAAGCTTAGCTTGCTGGAAAGCAAAGCAATAAGACAAATGCAAAACGCATTCTATTTTTCACTACTGTCATCAAAATGCCTTGGTGAACGCGGACTGTTCAGAGGGCCGTGCCTCATGACTGGTGTTCTGTCCCCTGGCTCCACGCTGACCCCACTGCGCGCCAGGCACTCACGCACGCACGTCGTGGGCAGCGGCCGCGGGAGCCGGTTTGGAAGCACGGCTCGCAGTGTCTCCGGGGTGGGCCGAGGCCAGACAGCGAGGCTGCCAGCACGCGATCTGGGCGTGGCGATGGAGGTGTCCAGGGGCAGGTGGGCACTAAAGCCGGTGGTCTGGCTGCGGCTCAGGGGGGAGCCAGACTGGAGTGCCCACCTGCTTGCTGTCACTCCCTGGAGAACAGGGACGGCCACCCCGCCTGTGCTCTGTGCTGGGGACCTCATCGCCTGGCCCCACCTGCTCTTTCTCCGACCTGCACTACTGCCCCGCCCCCATTTTTACTATCATTTTAAACAAGTGATGAGATGCAAGTTCGGAAGGTTCAGTATCAAGTTCAAAGTGCCCCAGCCTGCGGGTAGGGGCGGGGCAGGGCTGTGCACTGCTCCCCTCGCCCATGTCGCTGCCCCAGGAACCCACTGGTCCCCAGAAGGCGGGGGCAAGGTTTGGGGTGAGCTGCAACGCCGGAGGAGGGGAGAATGACGGGAAGTCTGACTGCCAGGCCCCCACTAAGGTGGAGGGCTCACAGACACAGCACTCACTCATTAGGGGAACCGAGAGGTTAGGGCCAAGGTCACCCCGGGAGTGAGGGTGGTGTCTGATTAGCAGCTGGTGGTCTAGCCCTGGGCGAGTCTCTGCACCTGGGGGTCTCCCCCTTCATCTGTGAAATGGGGTCAATGACCCTGAGCCTGCCCATCTGGCGGGGTGGCTGTGGGGGCCCACAGGGACCACCAGTGACGGCACATGGGGGAGGGTGGGCTGGGCACAGCGTGGGGCCAGAGGAAGTTACTCCAGCATCAGTGCTGAGTCCTGAAGGACGGGGCGGGGGGAAGGAGGGTGGGCACGCGGGAAGCGAGGCAGCGCCTGTCCAGCACAGAGGCCTCTGAGATGGGGGCACGAACCCCACCACTTACGCAACAGGTAAACTGACGGTCCAGCACAGAGGCCTCTGAGATGGGGGCACGAACCCCACCACTTACGAAACAGGTAAACTGAGGCCTGGAGAGGGAAGGGGCTCGGCCAGCGTCGCGGTGTGTCGGGAGTCAGACTGACCAGGTGCGGGATGGCCCTTTTGATCGTTCTGCCCCTTTGGCCAAGACCCTTCCGACTCTGAGCTCCTGTCCAGCCTCCCTGCTTGGTGCTGTGAACTCCAGCCACAGCACGGGCCTGTCCACTCCTGTGTCCGACTCCAGCCACGTGTCCCTGCAAAGCTGCGCCCAGGCCAGGAACACCCTCCTCCCCGCCTCTGCCTGGCGGCCGTCCGTCCATGGGCACCTGTCCTGGTGTCCCCTCCCCGTGCCACCACTGTGCCCCTTTCTCGTCACACTGGCCATCACCTGTCTGCCCTCCGCTGGACGTGTCTGCCTCCAGGAGCGCCGACAACGGCCACCCTCAGCACACGAGCGGGGAGACGGAGAAAGGACGGAGGACGCCCTGAGCACTCTGATGCTTCGATGCGGTGGCCATCTGGGACCCCAACCAACCTGAGAAGTGCCTGTGACCCCTCCCCGCAGAGAAAGCAGCGTTGCTACAGGGAAGCTAAAGGCAGCGCTTACCTGCGGCCCGGGCGACCCAGCGACTCCAGCCGCGCCGGCTTCCCCTTTCTTCCCCTGAGGGCACAGAAGGAGCACGGTTAGCAGGCGGCAGCGCCCAGGCGCCCAAACGCACGTCCCCGTGGAAATCCCGGTCCTCGTCTCTCACCGCGGTGAACACACTGTCCCCCGGGATGCCTGACAGGGGAGCAGTATGGGACTGGGGGGGAAGGGCAAGCTTTGGGGTCGCGGAGGTTCAACTTTGGATCCTGTTACTACATGATTTTGGTCACATGTGACCCCAAATTCAAAAGGACCAGAAAAGCACGCCTGAGAAAAATCTTCACGTCCTGTTCTCAGCCACTCCGCTCCTTTCCAGAGGCATTTTATGTGTAGGCAGCACATGTGCACGCACATGTGCGCACACGCACACACGCACACACTCACTGCACACACACACACGCACGCACTGCACACACACACACACTGCACACACTCGATTCTCTGCCTCTTTCCGTTTTTTCTTTACGAACTGTGGCTTGTCATTCAGTCCATCAACAGCTTTTCCTTCTGCTCACATGACGATTCGCCCTGGACGCGCCCCGCATGGGTGTGGGGGGAGCTGCTACGCTCTCTTCCCTGGCCACGGAGTTTCCACCACAAAGATGAGCCACGAGGCATTTCGACAGCGCCTACTCCTGGACAGCACGGTCGCTGGGGCCGCTCTGACCGGCTGTTAGAGCCCCTTCCGTAGGCGCAGTCCCGACCCGGGGTCGTAGGGCTGGGCTGGGCGCGGGGGGGAAAGGTCCCTGGAGGAGCTTCGGGTCCCACACACGCAACAGTCTCACCAGCCTCGTCAGTGAGAGAGACGGTCTGCCGCTTTTTCCTCCGTATTCGCCCAAACGCACAGCTCTGCCCTGTGCCAGGCCCTGGGGACACCGAGGGCTGGGCCATGGCCTCTGCCCATAAGGGACTCGATTTCCAAGAAAGGCAGACGTGAGTGGATCAAGTACAACACGCTGAAACCCACAGGATGGAAGCCCGTGCCCGCGGCTCCAGGACTCTCGGGCCTGCCCGCAGGTCTCGAGAGGACTTCCAAGAGGAGGCGGCACCGAGGCAGTGTAGGAATAAGGAACGAAAGCTTCCCCGTGGGACACACAGGGAGCAGGGCACAGAGCAGGCAAGTGCCCAGAGGCAGACGGGGGTGGGACGCTGGCAGGCCCCTGTGTGACCCAGGGTGGAAGCCTACAGGCCTGGGAGGGGGTGGCACGTGAAGTCAGCAGGGACTCACAGAGGGCGCCAGAGCCCGCACCACGGGGAGCCGCCACCCAAGAGCCCAAGGATTTTGAGTGGCCCCGTCTGCGTGGGCTCCGCAGCACGGAGAAGGGTGCGGTGAAGTGGGAGGCCACGCAGACCAGCCCTCAATGGTCACATGACCAAACCACATGCTGGGCCCCCCAAACTGTCACCCTCCTTCACACTGGCCCATGTGCGTCACTGCACCCCCACAAAGCAGCCAGAATTATATTCTTAAAATCTCAATCAGGTCAAGTCGCCTCTGCTAAACGCTGCCATGCTGCTGGACTCAGAGCAAAAGCCATGGCCTCACGCCTTCTGTCCAGGACTGCGGCCCCGCTGCCTGCTCAGCTCATTTCCCTCCACTGCGTCCCTTCCTCCAGCCACGCTGGGGTCCCTCCTCCACCTTGAACACAACAGCACTTTCTCTGTCACCGTGTCCCTCCCAGACATCCCACTGCTGCGTGTATTTGTTTGTGGCCTGTCTGCCCCTGCTGGGGTGCGAGCCTCCTGAAAACAGGGGCTGGCCCTGCTTTTGTTCAGAGTGCACTCCTGGGCCCAGAACAGTGCCTGCCACCGGGTGGGCACTCAGCACACCTGTGTGGGCTGAGTAAACAAATGGTCCCTTAGAGACCCATGTGTCCCCAAGCCGTGAGACACAGTGGGAACAGCGGGAGGTGAGAGGAATCATGGCAGGGAGAGAAGACATAGCTTGGTGGTCTACTGAGCTGCAGAGAGCGAGCTGACCCGATTCAGAACCCTCTGGATCCATGCCCGCCGACCTGAGGACACAGCCTGCAAGGTCAGTGAGGTCCAGGGCAGAAGGAGTTTCTTGCGTCACCGGATAAAATTCAAAATGGGACCACAGACACCTTCAGAAGTGAGCCCAGCCCTGGAGGCGGTCTGCTTCTGCGTCCATCCGATCCTGCCTGACAAACGCCAGGTCGGGGAGCTGACCGCAAGAGGCCTGAGCTCCCAACCCCACGCCTCAGGGGACGGAAGCCAGACAGCTCCGAATGTCTAGAATGTCTATCTAGACAGACGCCCCTCCACTTGCTTCCGGGTTATTCCACAGAGAGTCACCGGCTAACTAGACGACTAAAGCATTTCCCCTCAAGTCACTGGAATGGCTGCTAAGTCGTCGTCGGAATTCAGAAGCCACGCCAGCAAGGCAACTCCGTTCAGAGGGAAGGCTAGTGGAGGGGCCGGAACTCCGAACGACGGGCAGGAAGGGGTCCGAGGGAAGAGGGGAGGCAAAGGCCTGGGCCGTGACCGAGCGGAGTCGCTAAGGAGATGCCGCGTTCGGTGGGGGCGCGTCGGTGACCCTGCCTCGCACGGTCCAGTCACCTCCCGCGGGTCGTATGGGGTCTCAGCCGCTCTCCACGTCCCTGCCCGGTTTGGAGATCTGACGTAATGGCGTCGTGAATGCTCCATGGATGCCTCCAATGGTAAGGAAGTCTGAAGAAGGCCTGGAGTCAGGAGGTGGCCCCACAGCAGGAAAGCCAAAATCACTGATCCAGAAAAGGAGAAACGAGGCAGGTCGGAGAGGTGCAGGGCGAGAGAGACGCCCCTAGACCAGCGAACATCCCAAGGGTCAGGTTTTCAGCAAGAAGGTGGCAGGAGCCCAGAGGAAGAAAAGCATCAGAAGATGTGATCACAGCAGTGTGACAGGCAGCCTCTCCCCAAGGCAGACGCCTTCACGGATCACCCGCGAGGGGGCCCACCCGGAGAGCATCAGGGCACCGCCTCTGCCAGCGCCGCACCTGCGCTCACACCTCCTGCACCCACGGCGTCCAGAGCTGTGCCCAGTGCGGGCTTTCCTGCAGCCACAGCACGGGAGCGGACCCTGCTCACGCGCCCAGCCCCTTCCCTCCACTTCTCTGGGCCAATTCGTGCTGGCAGGTGATTCTTCCTAAAGATGAGAGAAGCTCTGTCCGAGGGACCTTCCACCTCTGAAACAGTCGCAGGCTCCTGTGTCTAAAACACGTAACCTCTGAGCTGTTCCACTGGAAGCTGCCAGCTCTGTGGTGCTAACACGCCTTTCCAGTTTAGCGTCCAGTGTCCGTGCTCTCGTCCCCGAAGCAGCCGCTCGAGCAGGCTGCCCAGCTTGGCCCCAAAGTCCCCCCTCAGGACTTTTGGCCTCTGTGACTCTGCCCACACTGCTACTGCCATCTATAACACCGTCGCTCCATCTCAACTTGTCAAAATCACATCTGGGTCCACTGCCACCTCTTCCAGGAAGCCCCAGCAATAAGGAAAAATAATAGCAAGGTATGACAGAAACACATTTGAGATATAAACTTCCCAGTGCTACCCAAGAGCTAATGAGCTAGAACTGGCCGGGGTGGGGTATGCAGCTCTCAGTGAGTTGTTAGGAGCACGTGACCACTCGCAACAATCTAAGGAACCTGCCACGCGCCCCTTCCCCAACCCCTCCCTCTACGGTTCTGTAAGGGAAAGCGTCCTAGACCCGAAGGTCGATGCCGGGGAGGGGACAAGCTGCTTAACTTGCTGGGTCCGAAGTTTCCTCACGTGCAAAATTACAATCATTGTAATTATCTGAAAAGACAGCGGTAAGAGAAATAACAACATATTTTTAATTTTTATTTTTCAATTAGAGTTGACATCAAATAAGTCAATACTTGAGGAAGTGATATATAAAGCATAATCAAGCATCATGGCAAAGTAACAGATAATTATGAGAATGAGGAAGATGATGGTGATAATGAAGAAATGGTCGCAGCAGGGTGCTACTACCTGGAGTCCCCACGGTGGGTGAGGGACCCTGTGTCGAACAGATCTGGTTTCTAAACTGCTACCTCCCAGCAGTGCCGTGGAGATGAAGTGAGATAATGCCCAGAGGGCAGGATGTGACGCTAGGGAAGGGACAGTAGTAATGGTGGCGGTGACAGAAACGGTGGTGATGGTGGTGATGATATTGGTGGTGGTGACAGAGATGGTGGTGATGGTGGTGATGATATTGGTGGTGGTGACAGAGACGGTGGTGATGGTGGTGATGATATTGGTGGTGGTGACAGAGATGGTGGTGATGGTGGTGATGATATTGGTGGTGGTGACAGAGACGGTGGTGATGGTGGTGATGATATTGGTGGTGGTGACGATGGTGGTGATGGTGGTGATGATATTGGTGGTGGTGACAGAGACGGTGGTGATGGTGGTGATGATATTGGTGGTGGTGACAGAGATGGTGGTGATGGTGGTGATGATATTGGTGGTGGTGACGGTGGTGGTGATGGTGGTGATGCTATTGGTGGTGGTGACGGTGGTGAAGGTGGCAGCTCTAGCAGTACTGGGTGTAGCAGTGGTTATGTAACCTCTGCATTTTGGACCCATGGTTGGCTGAGAGGATTTGAAAAGTGCTGGCCAGGGCAAGTTTTAAAGTAATAAAGAATGATTTTACTAACAATAACCCTGTCATATTTCTTTTCTTCTCTTTTAAATTGCTACCCAACATAATATCTGGGTAAGTGTTTGTAATTTATCATGAGGGCAGATAATTCAAGCCATTCTGAGTGCCAGGATGCTGAGTGGGACAGATATTTCCAACACTGCCTGCCCGCCCGTGCAGAAGAGGAAAGCCTGTAAATTCACAACAGCATCCCCCCCCCAGCCAGGATGAGTTCACACGGCCACGTGAGGGGCCATTAACAGATAAAAGGATTGCTTGTGCAAGTGATTCTAATATGTGCCGTATGGTCTTTTGCTCAGTTCCTGTTCTCCATGCCTCCAAATGTCAAACATGATTATTTTCTACTGGTTAG